GGACTTGCTGCCAAGGTCAAGGAATTGCAATATCATCAGCAGCAGCAGCAACAGCAGGCGACGATTAAAATGGAGCCTGATTTTGCCATGACGCCTTCAACGTCTTATAAGCGAAAAAGAACCGAAGTGCCGCCCCATGCAAGTGCCTCGACGCCCCTTTATGCAACCGGCCCACTCATGAAAACCTCCCAGCATTCAATGTCGTCGCCCCCAATGTCATATCAACTGCCGCCGCTTCAACAGCAACAGCCACACACGCCATCTTCGTCCCCTGCAAGCGCGTCGTCGCCGCCACCACCCCCACATCAGCAGCCATCGCCTGTGGCATCGTCTCTTTCGTCCCTTTCGTCCTCCTTGCAGCATCAGCTCTATCTATCCACGAAATATCGTCCAAATATGTTGCGTCACCCATCGCCACAGCAACAACAACAACAGCAACAGCAAGGCCAACAGGGCCAACAGGGCCAGGCACAGCAACATCACCCGCCGCCACCACCGCAACATCATCATCACCATCATCCATCGTCTTTACATCATCACCATCAACACCACCATTCACATCACGCGTCATCCACTCCACCACCATCAAACGTGCCTGGAGGCGCGCCACCCACCTTGCCCTCCCCAACACACCCGCAGCAACCGTCTCCAACATCCCCATTGCCGTCCCTCATGCTGCCATCACACCCATCCATACAGGTCGAGACCGTGTCGCTCAAAAGTCTCCCATCCGATGAGCCCGCCATCTATTTCATCCGCAATTTGGCCATCACAGATACCTTTACCTTTCGCCATCTTCTCGACGAAACCGATATCACCAGCGCACCCCCACCCGGAAAGCGCATCATCATCACAGACACCATGAACGAGCGGATTTTCCCTCTCAGTCAGGCCATCCGCAGCGTCTTGCCTCGCCCACCATCTTCTCATATGGAATTCTGCCTCGCATTGACCGACAAGACGCCAATTGATTGGAATGTGTGCACATGATGGCAAAAAAAAAAAAAAAAAGATTAGCTTTTTTTTTTGCAAGATCACACGCACATTTGGGCAAAAAACACGCTCGCACACACACACACACACACCACACGCGCGGTGCCCAATGCCCATTGACCTTGTTACTTTTTGCCCTTTCCCACCCTTGCCCATCTCATCATGTTTTATTTTTGTGTTTCACGTGCTTTTTTTTATATCTCCCTTTTTTTTTTACCATGCTTTGACGCCTGACACCCACACACCACCATTTCTCCACTTGCTCATCCCCATTGCGCGCGTGCGCGCGTTTTTTTACTTTTTTTTTTTGGGACCCCTCTCTTCGCTTTCTGTTGCCATTACCTTGCTTGTTTTACCCCCACTTTTTTTCTCTATTTCCCTTTTTTGATTTGATTTTGATGGAAAAAAAAATTAAAGCTCTTTTTAAATGTTGTTCATGACATGCGACAGGAAGGTGGGACGAACCATGGAGCCATTGGTGTGTGTGAATGGGCAAAATGTGTCGTGTGTGAATTGCTCATTGCTTTTTTTTTTTTTTCTTTTGTGACACTGCCAACTCGGACGGAGCTTCAATTGTCTCGTCGCCCCTCCCCTTTCATTGCCCTTTTTCCGTTTTTAATCTCTTCTTTGCTCACATTTTTTTTAAAACAGCTTCATGGCCGGTCTTGGTCGTATTTGCGACTATTCTCCCGAAAAGGTTGAAAAACGCGATATAACGCGCTTTTGTCGGTCTGTCTATGCGCGCCGCAAGCGACCTTGGCTCGTTGCACAGTTCAAGTCGCACACTCGTTGGTTTTCGATGGGGGTGGCCGCGGCCGTCGCGCACGCCGTGTCGCAGCCACATCATTTTACACGCACATTACTCATGGACACGACGCTTTGGACACTTGGCTTTGGTTTGTCGTGCTATCTCTATCTGTCGCAGGTGTATCAGGGCCAGACACAGGCGTCCGCGCGCGCGTGGATGCACGTGCTTCAATCCGATCAGAGCAAAGCGTGGGTGTCACTGCAAGAGCATCAGCAACAACAGCATCAACAACATGACGACAATGTCATTCTAGGCCTGCTTGTACTGTCCATCGTCAATGATGAGGCACAAATCCAGGTCAGCGCATTGAACCCGAAAATCGAGCTCCAATTGGTCCAAACCGCCATTGCACATGCCCATCAGCAAGGCATTACGGTCATTGCGCAGGATCATCAACGGAAATCCAACCTTGGTCCTTTTTAAAATCCACACCACCAGCCCTCGTTTCCCCGCATCCTCGTGTTTGTATTTTTTCCCTATTTTTTTTTTTTTTTTTTACGCGCGCTTCAATTTTTTCAATTTTACTGTGTATTTGTTATATCCCTGGACGTGCAATAAACAAGACGTGGCCCTCCCGTGACGATCGCGCGCGTTCAATGCACGCGTGTGGGCATCAATGGCCTCGTCAATGGTGAGATTTGTCCTCGTTGCCTGGCGCAATTTCTCCATTTTTTTTTTCTCTCTCTCTCTCTTTTCTCGTCCAATTTTTTTCCTTCCCACTCCTGGAAAATGCCACCCACCAATGATGATCCTGCCTTGCTCCACCTGTTCTCACCTACAGCATTGTCGATGGATCTGTCCTACGTCGACAAGACCTATTATGATCCACCCATGAGCCGCTCGGCTAGCAGAAAATCCATGGAGGTCTCACAACATTCGCTTCATTCGGTGCTTTTCAATCGCGCATTGTCCTTGTTGACATCCATGTCAAGGCTGGACCTGTACGAAAAAAAAAAAAAAAAAAAAAAAAGAATAACGAAAAAAAGAGTCAAATGTCATTATTTTTGCACGAATTTCACGCGATCCATACCATTTGAATTTTCCTTTGATCTCTTTTTTTTTTTTTTTTACCAAGCCATAGTCTCAATCTGCTTGTGTTGCCTAGCCAGATCAGCCGATTGAGCCACTTGACGCAGCTGGATCTATCTCATAATCACCTGGCCGCATTGCCTGCATCCATCCAACATCTCAAACACCTGCGTCATTTGAATCTCTCACACAACCGGCTGACAGCGTTGCCCCCTGTCGTCAGCCGGCTGACCAAGCTTGTCACGCTCAATTTGTCACATAATCCGGCTCTCAGTATCATTACGCCCACATTGGCCAATGCGCTGCGGCTGGCAATCCTGGACGTGTCCCACACCAACATTGACGCGCTCCCTGCCGAGCTTGCATGCCTGCTGACGATCCGCATTGACCAGTGTCCGCGCATGGCCAAGAACATCCAGGGGTTTGACGCGTCGCTTCAACATGATCCACCGTCACTCGTCGAAATATGTGCACGGCACATTATTCGTACGCCCATCTACCGCGCTACCGTCAAGCGCAAGCACGAATTGGCCGTGGCTGCCGCGCGCACAGACAGCAATAAAAAACGATCGGGCACAGCCATGATTTTTGGTGGTGCGGCGTCGGCAGCTTCATCGGCCTATACGCACCTTGCCTCTGTGCGCCGCCGCGTCAATGGCACACCGGACGACGCGGACATTGACGCGCACCCACTCTCGCAATTGCCGGCTCATCTGTGGGATTTCATGCAAGATGCCCTGCCATGCTCGTTTTGTGGAAAACCATACATCCACGCAAATGTTGTGCGCCATCGCATTGTTCAGCGCCTCGATGACTCGCTGCTGCCCGTGCGTTACCGCCTATGTCGTGCGCATTGGGCCGATGAGAACGATCGACTGCTTACCCTCTTTTCTACATCCTCCGCGTAAAAAATTCGACTTTCTATTTATTCCCCCTCCTTCCTCCCTCCTCTTTCTCCCTCGATCTATTAATTGTACGCGTTACTCACCCTCTCTCCCCTTTGTATACTCTACTATCAGCTACCTGTAAATCGGCTCGGGCAGAAAATCGTCGCCTTTTCAGCAAAAAAAGAAAAAAACAAACAAAGCGCCTTGATGGCTAATCTCGCTCTCGATAAAAGCCTGTTTATTCTCCAGAATTTGGAAGCGTGCAAATAAACATACTAATATTGTGTGCTTGTGTGCATGTGTGCCTGTACCTGCCACTCGGCATCACAGAGCGAGGCAGTAACGACGCGATTTCTCGCACATCCAAGCTGCACTTGCCTTTTATAGAAGGTGCAGCGCGTCCATTTGTGCCATTTTTTGTTTTCTAAAGCACGTTGATTCTCGAGCAGGTTGATCAAATGGCCTTTTTTATTAATCTTGGCATGTGGCCATTGCTTTGACGATTTTAAAATGAATTGTGTAGGCCAATGGGTCGTATACTTTAGTAAATGACCACCAGTCTGAATTGACTTCACTGGCTTCAGAATATGATGCGGCAAATGTTGAATGGGTTGCATGCAATCATGATTCGTGAGAAAAAAAAAAAAAAAAAGGCGAGGAACGCTTGCGGCTGGGGATTTAACTCTGTGTGTGCGACCGTGGGTGCGTGCTTTATGGTGCACCGGCCAGATGACGGTCCTTGATGGCGCGTCAATCTCGAACGTCCCTTGAAAATCAAAAAAAAAAAGAGCGTGTGAACCCAATTTTTCGCCACAAAAAGTGCTTGCTTGGCGGCATACCAGCTTGGTCAGGAGCCCTCGATTGGCATGGGTCCTTGGTGGTGCGTTAGCCTCGGGATATCTATTACTGTAGGTACTGTAGAGTTTTTTTTTTTTTTTTTTTTTTTTTTTTTTTTTTTTTTTTTTTTTTTGCGCAGTTCCCAACCCGATAAAATGATTTCGAAATGAAGTCCCTTACAGGCAAGCAATTTGGGTCCCCAGCCAGTGCCATTTAAGCATCACAAAAAAAAAAAAGACAAAAAGATGCACCTATCACATTTCGCCCAATCACTTTTGATCGGCTGTAAATCGCCCAAATCTCCATATTTTTCGTTTGTTTTTTGTCCATTATCAAGTCACACACACATTTGTCACCAGGCAATCAACAAATTGTGCTGTATAATGTAATAAAAAATTGGTTGTAGAAAATACAACTATCATTTTTTTCACTCCCGTCAACAAGTTGCCACCTTAGCTCTAATGGCAGAGCGTCGCTCTCGTAAAGCGAAGGTTGTGTGTTCGAATCACACAGGTGGCATTTTTTTTGTCCTTTTTTGCCGCGGCGTTTGACGAATTTCAACAAGAATTGAATGATTGGAGCTAAAATATCTTTTTAGTTGGTCCTGGTTTTGCATTTGCTTGTTGTTGCTATCTCCTGCCATGTCATAGGCACGCCGCAGTGAGCGAAATCAATTTTTTTTGGGTGGCCGCCATAGGCAAATGATCGATGGAATCGAAAAACCACAAAGTCAACTTTCCAAGTCCAGCCTTTTTTTTTTTTTTTTTTCTGCACAACATGCACTAAAACGGAGCTCAGGACACCCGCAGTTAGTTCGACGCGCTAGACTCAAGCAAAATTTCTGTTAAGGCCAAAAAAATGTAATAAAAAAGCGCACGTTCGATTTTTTTTTTTTTTTTTTTTTTTTTTTTTTTTTTTTTTTTTTTTTTTTGGCGGTAGAGTGATTTGATTTCTGTCAAATCTTGACCAGGTGCCTCAAACGGTCATACGTGCATGACGCAAGGTATGAAATCACAGAGTCCGCTTTGGTGGGAGATTTGATGAAAAATCACAAGTTTGTTGATTGGTTTTTGCGCATAACCGTCACTTTTCCGTTTGAAAGAAAAAAATTTATGAAAAGAAAAGACATGAAATATCTAAGTGGTAGCGTTCGGCGGTGATCCAAGCATGACTTGTCGGGACACGCGAAAAACGCGTAAGACATCGTGTTTTGGCTCTGATTTCACCAGCAAACACTAATTTCGATATTTCTCAAGACCGGATGATTCGATTCGTGAAAAAACTTGGAGCCATCCAAGTTTTGAATCAACTAACAACTATCCACTGGTCTAAATTTGGTTTCTTATGGTCAGGCCGGGAGAAACGCGTAAAATATTATTTGGCACTGGGTTTTCACTAGCAAACACGAATCTCAAGAAATCTCGAGACTGAGTGATCCGTGTCGCAAGAAAAATTATAGACATTGAAGGATTGGATCTACCATCAACTGATTCAAATTTGGGACCAAATGAACAAGTTTCTGATGAAGCGCCAGTTTCATAGGTGTAAAGGGGTAAGGTCAACAACATTTTGATTCGTACTGCGGCAACGGCTGAGCGCCCCGACACATGACTCGCCTCAAATAAATCGGTGGTCAAACGCGGTAAGAGCGCTTGTGGTTTGGGTATATCGCTTCACGTTTTCGGTGAGTTAGCCTTGAGGGCTCTTTGGATCCTGGTTTGGCCCTGATTTTGTAAAAACTGCATTTTCTGAGGATTGAGTGATCCGATTTGGGAAAAAACTTGAAATCATCGAAGTTTTGGATCAAATATTCACTGGTCCAAGTTTGGCGCCAGACGGTCAGGGTCCTTGGGAGGAACGCGTAAAATATTGTTTAGCGCTGGGTTTTCCACTAGCAAACACGAATCTCGAACTTTCTCGCGACTGAGTGATCCGATTCGCGAAAAGACTTAGCAACACTGAAGAATTGGGTCTACCGTCAACTGGGCCAAGCTTGGGACCAGATGAGCGAGTTTCTGAGAAAGCACCAGTTTTGTAGGTGTAAAGGGGTATGATCAGCAACATTTTGTCTCGTACTGCGGCAACGGCTGAGCGCCCCGACATATGACTCACCTCAAATGAAGCAGCGGGCAAATGCGGTAAAAGCGCTTGTGGTTTGGAGACATCACGTCTGGTTCTCGGCGAGTTAGCCTTCAGGGATCGGTTTGATCCTGCTTTGGCTCTGAATTTATGCAAAATGCATTTCCTCAGCACTGAGTGATCCAATTTCTGAAAAAACTTGAAATCGATGGCTTTTTGTGTCCAGCGTCCTCTAGCTCAAATATAGGATCCGATGAACAAGTTCCGGAGGACGCGCCATGCAAAAAGGGGGTAATATAATTTCCATTCCGGTAACGTAGGCGACAACGGCCCAGCATGTCGACGCGCGAGTCATCTCAAATGAATCTGCGATCAAAAATGGCAAAAGCGCTTGTGTTTTGGAGACATCGCGTTAAGATCTCGGCGAATTGGTGTAATGACTCTGAAAACTCGCATTTTCGATATTGGTTGGTGGACATGATATTCGGTCGGCTCTGCCTGCCTGTCTATATTCGTAATATGTGGTTTCGTAAATGCACAAAAAAAAAAATCAGTCAGTATCTCAGCAGTGCTCGAGAAAATGTACGAAGCACAAATGTCATCCGTTTTGTATTTTGCATACAAATAAAGCGTTTGATCCGTCCTTGTTATCCGCAAGAATCTTCAATTTGGTGCCGCGTCAGTGTAGGGTGGCACCAGACTGCTTACTGCACGCAGGCGTCAACTTTCCTTTTGACCAACGACCACTTTTGGCCGACCGGACGTGAACCGAAAAAGAAAATCAGTAAAGCACGCCGTGAAATTTCGTGCCAATGGGAGAGGCGTGCGTGCTGCTTGGTGGGTCAAGGTGACAAGCGAATCCTTGGCAGATTTTCAGGGCGCGCAGGGCCACATGGGCGGCATGAAAAAGGCGAGGCGTGCAATGCGGACCTCTGCTGACGGGCTTGTGATTGGTCGCGCCGGTCGTCATGGAGGCGGAGGCGGGGCACATGACCATGCCCGCCAAGACAAGATACCAAAAAAAAAAAAAAGGCGACGCCAACTTGCTTGGTCTTCTTTTTCTTTCTTTTTTGTGTTTTTGCCTTTTTTTTTCTTTTATTGTCAGCATGTCTTGGTGGGGAGCCAATCCTTTGGATGAATTGATAGGTAAGCGAGACGCGTGCAGGCGTTAGTGTTGCCAGTGTCGGTGCGACCTTGGTGGGATGGATGGGTGGTTCTTGGCGAAATGCTGACTTTTTGCTACTTTGTATAATAGACAAGGCAACGTCCGAGTTCATCCCTGCGGGACAAGAGAACCTTGCGGTGCAGCTTGAAATTAGCGACGAAATTCGCAGCAAAAAAGTGAATTGCAAGGAGGCGATGCGCGCCATGAAACGACGTTTAACGCACAAGAACCCCAATGTGATTCTTTTAACGCTCGACGTAAGTTGCAGTCCTCTTTTTTTTTTTTTTTCTTTTTTTTTCTTCTTCTTCTCGTCCGACATTGCTCATCTTGCGTCTCTTTTGGTTCTAGTTGGTCGATACCTGTGTGAAGAACAGCGGCGATCTTTTTGTGCGTGAAGTGGCCAGCCGCGAATTTATGGACGAGCTGACGAGCCTGCTGCATTCGCAGGTAAAAAAAAAAAAAAAAAAAGAACAAGATTTCGCAATTGAACGAGCGCGAGGGAGGTATAACGAGAGAGAGGCTCAATTGCTTTGTTTTTCTCGTTTTTTCCCATGTAGATTGGCAGCAATCCTGATGTGAAGAGCAAGCTGCTGCACCACATCCAGGTGTGGGGCTTGGCTGCCAAGGGCAAGCCCGAATTGAGCTACATGACCGACACGTACTACCTTTTGCAGGCCGAGGGTTATGCCTTTTCCTCGGTGCGAGAGAGTGTGAGCGGCAGCATGTTTGACACGCTCTCGGTAAGCCATCAAAAGACGACGATAAATGGGAGCAATTCGTTGCTGACGCCAATTTGCCCCTTTGTAGGCCCCTGAATGGACGGATTCCGATGTGTGTGAACGCTGCCGCACACCGTTTACGCTCACGAATAGAAAAGTAGGAGTCCAAAGAACGAAACAGGGCGTGTTAGGGGTTACTGACGCGTCGATTTTTTTCTCTTTTTTCGTTTTACAGCATCATTGTCGTCAATGTGGCGGGACGTTTTGCCAGCAATGCTCGTCAAAGTCAATGGCGCTGCCTCACCTTGCGATCCACGAGGAGGTGCGCGTGTGTGACGGCTGCTACATCAAGGTCAAGCTTGCCAAGGTGGCGCGCAAGGATACGATACCCCGCAAATTTGGCACCGCCCCGCATGTTGGATGGGACGACGCGCCATCGGACGCGTCTCCATCCGCGCGCGCGTCGCACACGTCGCCCCCGCCGGCGCAGCAAGCGCGAACATCGCAGCCGCCACCACCCGCGGACGATCAATTCGACGACGATCTCAAAAAAGCCATTGAGCTGTCGCTCAAGGAGGAAGAGCAGCGAAAGACCGGCTATGGCGCAGGCTACATGGCTTCGACGCAACAACCTGTCGCAGCTGCACCTGCACCACCAGCTCAGACGGTCTCACAAGCACCCATTGCGTCGTCGCCTCCGGCCACCCACATCGTAAGACGTCACAAAAGAAAAAAAACCGACGAAAATGACGGAAGCAACGAAAAAAGAGAGGCATTGGGCACTCACATGCGTCTTTTAATAGAATGATGACGAGGAAGACGATCCTGATCTTGCCGCAGCAATTGCAGCGTCCTTGCGGGACATGGAGCAATTAAAATTGCAGCCATCGTCGACATCGGCGTCGGCGCCAACGCACAACCCACACGAGCTGTCGTTGCTGGAGATGGAGAACATCCAGCTGTTTGCCACATTGATAGAGCGCATCCAGTCGGCGTCGGGCGACGCGTCAAAGGACCCACAGATCAGCAGGCTGTACACCCAGATTGGCGCCCTGCAGCCCAAACTTGTCAAGAGCCTGGATGACACCACCAAAAAGCATCGTACGTAACCAAATGGGGCCAATTGGACCAAAAAAAAAAAAAAAAAAAAAAAAAGAGGACAGGATTCAATTTGCTGTTTTCCTCGTTTTTTTCTCATTTTTTTTCTTCCCTTCGGTAGGTACGTTTGTTGAGTTGCACGAAAAGATCAATCTTGCTATTAAGACGTACGATCGGCTGCTAGAGCAGCGCGTGAGTGGTGCTCAGGCGCGCACGTCGCAATTGTATTCTCAAGCACCTTCGTACGGCCATTATGCGCCTGCAGCCACGGCTTCGCCAGCGTCGCCGACGCAGCAACACCAGGCTGCATCATCCTTGTACCCGTCGACGTACGCGTACACGGCAGCGGCGGCGCCCGCTCTTCAAACCAACACAGGTTATTTGTCACCTGGTGCGCCCATGTACGCGCCGCAGCAGCCACAGCCGCAGCAGACATTGTATCAAACACAGCCTTCCAT